TCTAACAACCTATAGCAATTGCACGAATTTACAAATTAAACATTTGTCGATTTTGATACGTTGTTATTTATGAAAAACTTTTTCGTGGCTATTTATCGTTAAGACAACATATAAATTAACTATTGCAGTTAAATTATGCCGATATAATAGAAGCTCTCCCAAAACAATAGTAACAGTACGAACCTGATTTATCATAAGCTATGCCTATTTAATTTTTTAATTCAAACATTAAACCCAATTATAAGATCTTTCAACTCTATAAATAACAAATCAAACTCTCTCAATATATCCTTCAGCCTTGTCATAATAAATAATAAACATCACGTATAAATATATGTAAACTTATATATACGCATGCAAATATATAATCCTTTTTTTCTCTGTTTTTAATTTTTTTTTTTAAAAAAAAAAAATGAAAAATGCACCCGTAATTAAGATTTTAATTTTCGATCTATTAATTGCTTAGATACAATTTAGATCTAATTCGATTTATCTATTCAACCTTATTCGAATTTCAAAATATTCAACAACACCAAACTATTTACCAATTCACCGTGTATCTCCAGTCCGTCTACTTGGATTATACAATATGTGGTATTGAAGAAGACGAATCGATCATCCTCCATAATTGTTATAACTTTTTTCATGCTTCAAGAATAATGTCAAGCATAAGACTCATCCCTAAAAATAAGTTCAAAAATATAAGAAATCTTCTTCATTGTTTTGGTCAATTAAGAATAATGTCGAATATTCAATGTCGTTACTTAAACTCAGCCAAAAAGTTCCTTATTCCTGATCATTTGAGTTCCTTTCTTACTTTTGTAAACAACTTACATCTTCACGTTACTCTTTCTTTTGAAGATGCACTGATGACGTTTCTTCCTTTTTAAGAATTCGTGATGACATGATAAATCACGAAGAACCATAAATATTATACTTAAATTTAAATAAATTTCCATTTCCAACCCAGATTTATAAAAAATCCAAATTAATTCTAAATTCAACATTAATATTATAGTAAGCCTGCAGTTATCAAAAAAAAATTTAACTCAAACTTACTGTCACAATTTTTTTACAAAAATCATGACTGAATAATATACGAGAGTAATAAGACGTGGCTAAAATATAGCTCATAATAATATTATAAAACTTCTAAGCCGGCGACAGAAACCTAGTGCTACCAAACGCTACCAATATTTATTTTATTTGTTACTTCCATTTATATTTATATCTATTACAAATTTCTTCTATTTATTCTTTATTTATCATATTAAATAAATAAACCGTTAAAATAACCAAAACTAAAATTCTTCATAAAGAAATTAGTTGTAAAAAAGCCTTACAAAAGTACTAACCAGAGCAAAAACCTTAAATAAAATCCAAAAGAAAATAAATTAATACAGATAAACTATACGAAAAATATTGGTAAAAACCAAAGTACAGACAAATCAAATAATCCGAAAATAATCTATAATTTATTTTCAAACGTAAAAGAGCCGCCTTCTCATACTTTTAATAAAGCTTTAAGCTTCAATGTTTTCGTTATTAAACAATATAAGAAGAATCGATTAACCGCATTTATTATTATTTTATCATCCCAGCCATTAAATCGTATTAAATCTTCCAATATAATTTACTTCATAAGTATCATTCTCAATATTAATACTACTGATTACCTACCTTAATTACTTATCATTTTTATTAACATAATTAAATATCCTAACCTCACATCGCAAGCTATTACATATATAAAATCATTACAATCAAATCTGCGATATATCATTTTTTATCAAATACCTACTCAAATTTAACTATTAAATTAAACTAAACTTATACTCTAATTACTTTTTCAAACCATAATAATTCAATAACACAATGCATTTAAACAATCATTATTTAAGCTAATTTTTTAACATATAACTTCTATACAAATAATATAAGCAATATAAATCAAACTCCCTCAATACATATCCTTGAACCTTGTTAATCATTATAAAAATAATTCAAGCATCTGGCTGTTTAACTTAATATACCCCCGAAGGGGTCCAGAGGCTGGCATATACGAAAGTTATTGGTGCTTCACATACAATAACGGTATTAGATAGGGTTTGCCAAATGACTTGAGTTGTTTGGCAGTTGTTTTAATATAAAAAATAGCTTTAGTTATTTGGCAAGCCCTATAATAGTAGGATGCCGGATAATCAATTTTATTATCCAAAGAATGACGAGGACGCTTTCCGTTTAAGCAAATACATGATAGATTTCAATGTCGTAATGCGTCATGATGTTTTATCAATGTATTAGCTTATATAATATCAGATATGACTAGAAGTTCCAAAATTTTAATAGTCAAATTATAAAATGATTTATTCTAAATTTGATTCATAATAATATGCGATAAATAAAATGTTTGTACAGTAAAATAGTTAATATATTTCTTTCACTTATTCTTTCTATCACAACTATCAATATCCATTTTACTCTTCTTAGATTCAATATCAATTTTTATATTTTCAAAATCAATATCCAATTTTCTCTTTTTAGAATCAATATCAAAATTTATATTTTCAGTAGTATCAATATTCATTTTTATATTTTCAGTAGTATCAATATCCATTTTTATGTTTTCAACATTGATATTATTGTCTGATATAACACATTTTCGTAACTGTTGATTGATACAACTAATAAGCTTACTATTAAAGATAGAATTATTATCATTACTAAAGTTAGAGTAATTATTTTCTATTATCATTTCCTTATCAGAGTTTATAAATTCAGTTAAAATTTTGATATCATTCTTCCATTTTAT